ATAGGAGGAAAATACGGACCTGAGTATTCTGGGAACGCTGTTTTGATGGACACACGCTGGATCTTCTCCATGAACAGATCTTTTTTATTCATAAACAAAATAATCGAAGTGTTGATGAACCATCGGCTGTTGCAGATCGATTCAAAGAGACGTTGTGATTCAAGCATTCGATTCTGAAAACAAGTCTTTCAGAAGGCTTGGGCGTGGATAGCCAAGTGGATAGAAGCGAAAGCATTGCAGTTTCGTGGATCGAATCCGATACACACAGCTCAATAAAGTATGCAGGGTCAGACAACCTAATAGCAACACTTGATGAATTCAACTACACATCAGTGAACCTATTTAATGCTGCAACTCACCTAACAGGCTCAAGTTGCGTAACGGTGCGTGGCGTGGCTACCACGAGCGCGGTCCTTGGGATCAAGTCCTAAACGGTGCGTCGTCACGCCAACCAAGCCTTCCATCCCTCCGGGGTCGGTTAATTGGTACCAGACTTGTCTGGGAGGATAAAAACACTGACTTGTACATCGGCTGGCCCCCGCAAGTCATTGTATAGGCCACATCGCATTCAAACGCCACTAAATGGAAGTAGAATGCGTGCCGCATCCCGAAAGGAGACTGATCAATGCTCAATCCTTTATCCTTCATAGCACTCCGGTTCTCCTTCTTTTCATTTGCTGATGAAACCGGGGAGGACATGTACTATACATCAACCGTTGTTCTTTGGTCTCCCGTTATTATAAGCTACATATTATTCACATAGTTAATTTTATTTAAAATTATTACTAATCTTCCAGACTTTATTTTGTCACTTGTCGCGAGACACTTCTTACTCTGCAGCTCCCAAAAGGCTTAGCAATGGGAACCCAAATATGTCTTCTTTCTGAGTGTAAGGTAAATGCTCGGCGCACCCTGAAATATTGGTCCACGTGGACCTTCGTCTTTCTTCTTTTCTAAAAGCTGCTACACAGTTCATTTTAGTCCCTTGGGAGCAGCACGCAAGAAAACAATTCCGAACAGCTTTATTATGTGCGCTTTACCGCGTCACAAATTCGATTAGCCAACTTCCTTGTTTGCATGGCAACCGAAACCGAAGCACCATTGTCAATTACTTTTTTTGAGCTGACTACGCAATAATTACCTCTAGTAATTTGAGCCCTAATCGAATAGCTGCTGTCCGAATCGCCATAGCTTTTGTAGTTGACAAGTCCCTTTTTGGAATGCGCTACACAGTCGACTTTGTGAGGATCGGAGCGGAATTTTGTATGGGGTTTGGCCTGTCCAACAATTTGTGGAACCAGCTAATACAAGTCGATCCCCTGTATTGAAACGGATCGCCTTCTTAGGACAGGCTCCTGGATCGATCAGGGATACGACCCCTACACAATGTGCATGGTAAGCGGCATCACCTGCCACTATACCACCTTAACACTGTAGCGCTAACAGTCAGCATTGGACAAGTTGTTCAGTAAGAGAGCCAGGCCTTCCGTCCGGACTTCAAGGAAGCTTTTCCGTGACATAACTCACAAGCAATGGCCAATTTCAACCAACAATGCTTCTACCAACTTTGACTGGGACTGGAAGCGTCACCTCTCGCGATTGGGAGCGCTTGGGAGTGGAGATTGGGAGTTTAGAAGACACAAAAGCTATAACCTCTTTCATAATAATTCAAATGCAGCTTTGAGTTGATTGTCGAACTGCCTCCAACAAGACTGATTCTTTTGCCAAACCTATGCCCGTAGGCTTCCCAGCGATTTTCCATAAAGTATTCTCTAGGAGTTTGAAATTGACAGCAAGTGTAGCTATACTGCTCCTCTACGACCACATAGTGTGCAAAACCCTTCTTGAAAGCGGAAGCTCATGAGCACAAAGAATTTATCAACATAAACTCTGAAGTGGGGTTACATCAAGAAAAGTCTCTGAGGAATGAAAGCTGCAATTGTGCTATCTACAAACTTTGTGATCTCAAAAGCTAGCGCATAGTCGTAACCCCATGTCTCCCCTGATCCGCGACTGTCTATTCACAAAAAACATCTCTTCGATACCCGTATCGAAGGAGACGTTAGGCGTGTATGGCATTGGAGAAACAGCTCAGAGGGCTTACCGTAGTCTCGTCCTCAAAAAGCACTTCATCATATTCACTGACGGCGGCTATGAAAGATTATGGCGTTCACATTTTCAAAACAATGAATCCATTTTTTCCGTTCGGATCGTTGACCGCCAACGTCGAAAACCCTGAAATCTCATAGGGTGGTGTTTGAATCTCAGGAAATGTCTTTCTCATGAAGTTTAATTAGTTTTACATCAAGTGAACTTCGAAAGCGCTAAATACAAAGCGGCTACCCCAACTCGCACCTGAAGTGAACTTTTTTGATCATGAACGAGACTTCTACGATTCCTGTGGTCTTTATTCGGGTAAGCAATATGTCTTGATCGGTTGGTTTGTAATTCACATTCGATATCCGGTCGACGCTGTCGAGAAAACTGAAAATCGATTTTTGATTTTACAATAAATTCGTCATTCT